AGGTACAATTAGGTGGTCATTTTACTCACTATGATATGTAAATAAAATTAAAATGTTAACAGATAAGTGAAAAGATAAAACGCATTTCGAACATGAAGAAAAACCCATTTTTTGTCATTGAGACTTCATTCTCTTATAATTTTGTTTACATTGTTTTTAGTATTTAAAGCTTCTGAAAAATAATTTGATATACGAAGGTAAAACATACGAATGCTTTTAGACAAGAAAAACAAACCATGTTTTTTTCCTTTAATGCTTTATTCATGTTTGGTTCTACTGCTGTTATCAAAAGTATTCATTTTTATAGATCAGTTAGTTTGTGCAACATGATCCTTAGTTTTGATAGGTTCTCTTTAAATTACATGTACGTGTTTTTTTCTATAGTAAGTATACAGAAAATAAAGTTTTTAGATTTCTTTAAATTTTGTGTGACTTTTCAAAAGTAATGATTGTTTTAGATGAAAAACGTTTCTTTGTAGCATATTTTACTTCAATTTTATCTTTAAGTAGAAACATACGATGAGTTCATAATCTTCATAAGAAAAAACTACGAATTTAAATGTTACTTTGGTGTAACACAAAAAACATGATGAACTCTATGATTTTCTTACAAAATGAGGTGATAAATAAAAACTATTTCTTAAAAATCTAGTGACATATTGAATAGTTCGTAATGCGATAATCCTCAATCACCCATGGAACATTAGGCAGAAGGAGATTAACTAAGAGTATAGATTCATAATAATAAAATACTAACACGTGGTGTAATTAGGAATTATATTTCCGTACTTGTACACGATTCATGAATTTTAACACTGCGCACATGAAAACTAACAGTCGAATGAATGAAACAAATGGTTGTCAATCGTTCACAGCACATAAGCAGATAAACTTGAGTATTACGCTCTATTCATATAATGTAAGGTTTTAATTTTATTACTACTTATTTCAGATAAAACTTTTACTTGGGGGTTTAAGGAGAATCACCATGTTACGTTGATGAGATGAAGTTTATGTAAACGTAGCATTTATGTCAGAGCAATATATTTCGAATAATCTGTCTATTAATTAGTTTGTTCGAACATTTATTTGGAGGAATTAAATGTTAAACTAACCAGATGGAAATGTGACAAAAAAAAGTTACTTAATAAAAATAATATAAATTACACTTTGGTGAATATCAGAGTAGGCTTAATACAAGTATGTATTGCTTTGAAGCATACCAGAAGGGTGTGCATTTTCGTATGTTTCAAACATGAACAAACTTAACGATCCGCTTTAGTTTACTTTTTTATATGATTTCATCCTTATTGGTTTGGCAATAAAGAATGACGAAGGTATGTATCAGTTATTAATTGGGTCACAAAACTCCCTCATCTCAGTGAGTTATTTAAATTTTCCATATAGACTGACTGATCTAAATATATAATTTAACCTTTTTCAAAAAGTATAGAACAAAATTATAGAATTCTGTAACTCAGATCCATTTTCGTGTTAGTGATTTTAATAATTTCATGACAGTAATTAATGTAATATGTTGCTTGCATTTACTGCTATTATTATCAATGAGGCATTAGGTATGCGATCAACTCTTACATGATTGAGATATTTAAAACTGATTGATCATTGATTAGTGATCCCTTTCATTTTTGTCTAGTCCTTTTTTGTACTAACTTAATTTTATATTATTTTATCTGTATAGCAACTACATATTTTACAAAATTATAGATTTAAAATACTTTTTTTGTAATAATTTAATGTTTTTCTGCTTTAGTCGATGACATATAATACAATCGAATCCTTATTCAACAATCAGTAACCTCATTCTAAAGGATAACAAATGTACAGTAAAAAGAAGAGAATAACAGAAATAGAAAAGTGGTTTTTTTAATGTACAGTACACAATGAATAGTTGATCGTTTTAGATAATAGTAAAAATTCATATTTTGCCATTAGTTATACGTCAGTTTAATTCATATTTAAAATAAATTTTCTATATCAATTTTCAAGGAGGATTGGATGCAGACATAAAGGCGAGGATTGGCAAAGTAAAGGTCGCATTTCTACAGTTGAAGAACATATGGAATTCAAAACAACTGTCAACCAATATCAAAGTCAGAATCTTCAACACGAACGTCGAGACATTTCTACTGTACAGAGCTGAAACGTGGTTAACTACTACAACCATCATCAAAAGGCACAAGTATTTATAAACAATTGTCTATGTAGGATACTGAATGTCCGTTTACCGGATACTGTCATCAATAGCCTACACTAGGAGAAGACAAACCAGTTTTCAGTTAAAGAGGAAATTAGGAAAGGACGATGGAAGTGTATAAGACATACATTATGGAAATCACCAAACTACACCACGAAACAAGCCCTAACTTTTAGTCCTAAAGGAAAACGGAAAAAAGAATGGCCAAACAAAACATTACGTCGGAAAATAGAAGCAGATATGAAAAGGATGTATAACAACTGGAAAGAACTGAAAAGTTCGCACACGACAGGATTAGATGTCGAGTGCTGGTTAGTGGCCTATGCTTCTTTACGAGGAGTAACAGACGTAAGTAATTAATATCAATTTTGTTCTTACATTAGTCAATATGATGGGTAATGATAGAATAATTTGATTTATACTCGTGGTTAAAATATAAATAAATAAACTAAATTATATTTATCATTTATTAAGATGAACATATAGGCTCACTAATATTTCAAATTAAAATATTCATATCATTTCTATAAACAATTAAATTTTTATTTTTTTTAATAAAAGAAATTTAATAAGTAAAGAAATCTATTCGTTAAAGAAAAAGAAGAAAAGAAAAAGAAAATCACGCGCCAATAATAAACATTGAACTTTGTTGAACTCAATAACTTGTTTATATAAATGATAATAACGATTAAATTTAGAAACGAATTAATAATTATCAATATATACTACTTATATTAAGTTAAGATAATCATGAAATTGTAATAGATTGCTCTTTATAATACTGAACGTTTTCTATTATATTCAATAAGAAATTATATTTCCATTCATGATATGTACAATATAATAATAAAGAATGATAGATTTACTTATAAAAACTAATTTATTATATTCTATATATTTTTAAGATAGAAAATGGATTCTAATTTTATGATTGACCTGAGAAACATAGAATAAACGAAAAATCAGTTATGTTCTCTTATTAAACAGCTAAATTAATTAAACTAGAGAAACTTTAAGTAAACATAATAAATTTAATGAATTTCTATTAGTGAAAGTCTAAGATAGATTACATGTAATCATGTTTTCTTATTGTTGTTATTGGTGAAAGCGAATATTTGACTATAAAGTGATTAAATGGAATATACTTTGAAGTTGTTTAATGTAAAGAAAGTTTCATTATTAGTTTGATTGGTTCAGTTGTTCAACTTCGATATTAATTAGAATTATTTAAGTATAATATTATTGTGGTGCGTGCTACTTATATTGATATAAGTAGTATATGACGCGAGTCAGGAATGTAATATTTGGCAGCAGGAGATGGAGAACATGAAGAAAGGAAGAGCGGGAATAGAAAGCAATTAGTATGGAAATGTGAGAACAACGAAGTTCGAGACAATTATTGAACATTTTGCAAATTAGGTATTATAGTATGATTTTTCTATTTTACCAAGTAACTCTGTAATTTTGTGTTAAATATAATTCGGTTGTCGTCACTTATGTTCTTCTTCATTACATTATTATTTAGTCAAATTATTGATCATCTCAACAAGTTAATCACAGTCCTTAATATGGAAAATTGATCAGTATTTTTTATAAGATAGAAAAACTTTCAATTTTGTAGAGTTTAGTAAGTAAAGTTAATGTACTTGAACATGTGAATAATTGAATTCCAACCAAATGGTCTAGTGGTTTCGTCACCATAGAGAGGTCTCAAGTCCGTCTAGTTCGATTCCATATAAAGTTACTGACATAGAAAGTCAAAAAAGTAAACACTAGTGACAAGATACTTGTCCAATGCTCTCTAAATAATTTCATTATTGGGTGAAAATTGCATTGCCAATATATTAGTATTCTCTCATCAGACAGTTTGATACAAGTGAAATGAGTATTCATTATAATTTTTCCTAGCCTCAACGCACTGAAGAGAAAGCTGATTATAGAGATATTTTTAGCTAGTATGTTTGCAGATGTGCGAAGCGCACTGACAGCACTTATAACATATAAATAAATAAAAGTTGTGAAAAAAATGTCTATGGTCAACTTTGTACAGTTGATCGTCGTTAAGCTACCTTTTTTAGCATTTTTTTGAAAAAAATTATTGTAAGATACGTTATGAACCACCGAGTCGGTCTTGCTTCATTATATCCGCTTTAAGACAACTGAGAGGAAAAATTATTTTTACTTATAATCTCCTATTTCAATTGATTGATGTGGAACAATTTGAGTATTTGCATTGTAACAGTTATGGATTGATAACTTTTTCAATCAGGGTAGTCGAATATTGTTTATAACAACATTTTATAGTTTATTGCCAGAAGACAAAATACAATAGGACGAAACGGCCGTCCAGTGCTTCCAGGTTTCCAAAGGTGGTCTAACATCAATTGGTTCATGATCTTAATCAAAAACTTAATAATCTTCACAACCCCTATACTAATATTTTCTTCGTTAGTTAATTTTCTAATGAAGAGCTAATTCATTAGATTGTTTGAATTTCAACACATCTTACTATAATCATTTTATCTTAGCAAAATAAATATTTATTCTAATATGTATAAATAATTATTCATGAATTCACTTAATTCACAATTGGTACGTTTTATCATTTCAATGGCATTTGTTTATTCTTAAAAATACTATTACCCAATTAAGATTATTCAGATGAGGAGTCTTAATTTTGATTGGTCTATATTTAAGTAGGTGGAAATGATTATAGTGAAATAAAAGCAAAATAAAGTTTCAATTTCCCATACGTATTAATAACTGTTTTTCTCTTTTTTTTAAAAAAAAAGAACGACAAAAGGAAATCTAAATATTATAGGTAATGTCAACTTATTTGTTCATCGTTTAAAAGATCTATTCACATAATTGTTTATGTTTTCAATGTTTGTTAAATAATCACGACTTAATTTTCTTCTCTTCAATAACATATTATCCATAAGTTACTTCTTTGATGTTAAGTAAACATAGGTATATGAGTGGCATAACTCATAATAACTCATCTTTGCTTTCTTGATCATCTATTATTGATAATAAGGCAGAAGTTTTAATTTCTTATCCTTCTTTTATAAATGGAGGAATACATGATTTTATGAATGTTCTTAATGCTTAGTAAATCAATATAGGGTTTAAAGGAAATTGCTTATTTTGTAATAAATTTCATTTTTTAATTTGAATTTATCTAGATTCTACAGAGTATCCATATTGTTGACTCACTCTCCATATATCATACGATTAAAGTATCTCATTCAGTAAGAAGTTGTCTGTACGTGGTAAATATTCCTATATTTTATTTTTTACTTTCTTTCTTTCTGCGAAGTCATGATACTAAACGGAAAGATATTCGATCTCTAACATGGGATCAAAAAGTTGTATTCCTTTCTAAAACTTTAATTTCCAGGATAATAGAGTTCGTTAAGGAATTATAGGGATAATATATTTAGCATTAACTGAAGAATAATTAATCTGTGAGTTGACAAGCTGCAAATTTTCAGAACGCTAATATCTTTACAATATGGTTCATTTGGACCACAAAGATCGAATAAGCAATAAGAAATTCACACATAGATATTATACTTATTATTTTTTATAAAATATTCATTTTTGACTGTTTAAATCCTGAACTAATCTTAGCTAGGCTATCATTGGAAGACTAGAATTTAAACAATGGAAAATCTACAATCTTCATGAATCTCCTAACACAAACATTTATTTAAAAAATTCATATTAATCGGTGATAATTTGCAAAATTATTAGATCCAAAGTTTCATAAAGTCTGAAGTTAAGTTTAATTGATTACAAGGTTGTTTGACACAGCTCTGAATGTCTAGCTAAGTTTTCTCACAAAAACATATCATAGTGATATTCAAAACTATTGAAAGAAGTTTAGCTAGTTACCTTAAGGTCACTGTATTTTATCGTTTCCATTCAATTGACTTGAATAAAGAAACCAATTTGTAAAGTTACTTCCTATTTATTACTGAACTTGAAAGTTATTTCTAATAAGATGATTTCATTTCTAATCCGTGGATAGAAGTTAGTGACCAAAACCTAAATATGAAAACATTTTGGTTTGAAAGTTTCTAACTCATATTGATGTTATTCAGAGGAAAGAAGGGTCTTTTAGGCCACACAACATACGTTAGATATATGGTATATGTAAACTGCTTGAAATCACTAATTATTAAACGGTCATAAACTATATGGTTATAACAGTAGCATGAGTCGGAAAAGAATGCCTGATATAGTGTACACTACATTTCCCCAAATTATGTCAGGTATTAGAAGGATTAAATTTCACAGAAAAAGTAATTTTCCTAAATTATTGAAGTTTTACGATTAATCGGCTAATGAAATTAACACAACTATAAAGAATTCGCTAAAACTTTATGTGAACTCAAAATTAGTTTCATTTAGAACCCGAACTCAACGACAGAATTTCGTAACTACTCTTTACTACACAAAATTAGAGATTCTTTGATAACTAAACAAACAGTGACCAGATTAAAAGTAGAAATAATTGAACCGTTAAAATGCAAACCAGTTGATTTATTTAAAAAAAGAAACTCAGTAATTATTTCGGAGTTTCTACCTAATAATATTATTTCAAGTCATTATAAACTGTTTACTTTCGTGCGCGAGACAGACAGGTCCTGGTCCGAATCTCGCTAGGCGAGATAGTGGATGTGCATTGCTGAGGAGTCTCACAATTAGACGAAACGGCCGTCCAGTGCTTTTAGGTTCTCCATGGTGATCTAGATTCAATTGACTCATGATCTCAACTATTAAAATTACTATATTATAAACAAAACCCCTTCTGAAATAAATTATGCTTTAAAGTTAGCATTAGTTTAATGAATAAAGGAAAAAATGCATCAAACATGCATGTGAACAAGGTTGTCTAGACAATAAAGCGAAATAGTATTCCGGAGAATATTTTTTTTTGAATAAATTACATCATGTTTTATTGTAAACTATGATAACGTATGAACCCCATAAGACTAATAAATTCATAGACATATCAGTCTAGAATAACAGGTAATTTTATAATTGCTTAATGAGATTATCTTACGTTCACTTTTAGTATTTGTTTGGTTCTATCTAATTGAATTTCCTAGTTATCAGTTAGCTTAGATACAATAAATAATATTTAGAACAAAACTATAAGTGGGTGATAATTATCATTTAAGAAATATATCATATACTTATCACTATTCCTAGAAGATAACTTGAATATTCTTTCTCTTATTAATTTTTGCGTAAATAACTTTCTTTTAGTCAAAATCATAGTTTTTTTTAGTATCGATATTGTAATCTTGATTTAAATCAATATTTTATTCAATTAGAAGACTCCTGTCGGCTGATTAATTCCTTAGGTCGTTAATAAAATGACTGTTATCTATTCAACACACATACTGCATCAATGTACATTATAATAGTTCAATTCCTTGTTACTGTAAGATATGAGATTGTGTTTTTGCTTTATAAAGAATTTTTCTAGTCTTGGTAAATTGACTCATTACTTCACATGAAAACAAATAGTTCAAATCAGTTATGTCTACACAAATATCTTTTATTTAAGTTGCCTCTGTCATTCTGAAATGTTGATACAAATCTGGATTTTTATTCACACATTTTTTTCTCGTAAATCCATTGAATCATTGTTCATCAATATGGCATTTACAGGATGTGTATATCAAAAGAAAACACAAAAGAAGTTATTCAGTCACCATTTGATATGCTCAACTATTAAGTTAGCTGTATCAAAACATATATAAAACATTGTATACATCAAAATACATTGGACTGTAAAGAATGTTTCTATGAAATGAGTTGTAATTCTTTTTTATAATCACAGCTTAAATAGTATCGATTTCAATTACACGAAAAGTATTTATTCCTTTACAGTTGTATATAAATCTTGTTCAAGCGGTACCAACTAGCAAGAAATGTAGATCTAGAAATTTCTCTTGATTGTTTCTAATGATGCAACATTCGCTTTTCTGAATTATGAAAATAATTAAATTGAAATTTTAATTGATTACTTAAAAACAGTTTTATTTTCATAAGTTTTACTATATTTCCAATGTGTTACATCAAAAGCCATCTCAAATAATTTATTATATATAAAGGTTTGTATTTTCTCGTTTTTGTTCAAAATCATTCAATGTGATAATTAATATCAAACTGATATAATAGAAAGAAAAGTCAATTTTCGATTCATTTACTTATTATGAATTATTGTTCAAGATTACCTCCGTTTTGATTCAATATAATGATGACTCAATGTGGTATTTGTTTTCTTTTCTCGTATGATATTTTATTCTGTATAATATACGATATTCATGTATTCAATGAACATGAACTATGCTCAGTATGTGATTTCATCCTAGTTATTAATCACAATTGGTGTACAATCAATATATAAATGATTGGATTTTCTACTAGAGTCGTCATCGTGTTTTGAAGTTAATAAATCATCACTTATACCAGTCTTTGTGTTCTTACTTTCGCGTCGTGGGAATTGCAGAGGTCCCTCGTTCCGAGTATAATTGATAAGCGTTTCCGACATAACAATCAGCGACGGCCAGATACAAAAGTAGCATTAAAAGAGCCAAGACAATAAGCATTTAAACGACAAGTTATAACACAAACATCTAAAACATTTTACGATTTCTAATTTTGTTTAAGTTCACTTTGATCCAACTTTACTTTGCATAAAGCTATTTTTCCATTTTGAGGTTTTAAAGGTAAAAGGTGGATATCACACGGATTATAGTAAAAATACATAAGTTCTGACTTGTACTTGTTATTGTTTATGTGATATCGATGTCGTTATAAGTTGGATATCGTACGACCGCATGAATCGTGCTATTACAACTACAACTACAGTAGCTACACCTATTAGAACTATATTACTAATCTTGTAGTTATTGTTGACAATTTCCAAAGTATCCTTCATAACCACGTTTTTCATTATTACTCCTAGCTGTATAAAAAGACAATCAATTTATAAGGGTTCACCATCTAAAATTCTGTTTTATGATTTATTGATATTAATTTATCACATGCTGAACGTGAAAGCTTACTATTTCTCTTACCTTAATATTCTCTAATCTTAATTATCTTGTATTTATTACTTGTAAACAGCCTTCTACTTGCCTGTTGTAAATTTTCGGATAATATCATTGTTGAAATCCAGAAACCTAAATTAGGATTTACCTTGGTGATGATATGAAGAAGAAATAATTGAAAAAATATTCTATCTCATTTCAAATTAGTCTCATATGAATATAAGTAACAATATGATATTAGACAATTATGCAACAACATTTTGTGCATAACAAATCGGTTTATTTACTAGATTACTATGCTATTAACTTTTATTCATTATCATGAATATTATGTCCATTTATATTTTCTAATGAAAACAACAACAACAGAATAACAAATGCCTAAATATAAAACAATGTTACATTTATCATTACCTTTTGTGTTAAAGTATATTTATGGTTGCCTTTTCTTTCAGATTATTGTTTATAATATGTCGTGTGAAAGTTATTATTGTAATCCAATATGTAATATTGAATAAAATAAAAACATAATGTTCAGATATCAAGAATTGCACAGTCTGAGGATAGACAAATTCATAATAAAGTTCTTGTCATACAGATTTGTTGTATATTAATAATAATAATAATAGATAAAAAGTTGAATAACTTAGGATCCTTTCGAAGATTATCCTATTTTATAAATTTTATTCGTCATTGACTGATCTCAGTAGTTCGAACGATCGAGTATTTATCATGAATTCTATGATTAAAAACATCTGGTCAAGTTGATCGCTCTGTTGCATTAATTTCTTTTTTCATTCAAATGTTGTTCACAGTTTATAAAAAATACTACAGTTGAACAAAATCAGTAGGATATTTTAGTTGTTAACTTGAATAAAATAATTCAAATGTAAGTTTGTGAAACAAAATATTTTAATATGGTATAAATTCACAAAGAACAGTTTTAAGATATAGGATCTTATTGTCAATTAAACATTATATCTTTCAATAAAGCTATAGTAGTTCAGAAAATATTCAATTATCAAATCGTTAATGAGATCATTTTCATAATTAGTAGGTTTGTACCATTCACTTTATCAGTTTTCTGCTCCAGAATTAATATTTTCACTTTACAATACTTAGTTTTCTTTTAAGTTAATTTCATATTAGGAAAGCAATTACACTAATGAGATTAAAAATATCAATTTATTCAGTTAATCTAATAAAAGATTATTTCGAAACTTAACGGTTTGTGATGAAAAACAGAAAACTTTTCTTGTTAAATAACCTGTGATGGAATCTTGTCATTACAACTAAAAGTGTAGCATGCTATGAAAGTTTATACGACAGCTAAACATTGAATAGTTGTTTACTTACATTTCTTGGAAGAATGAGAAGGGTAATATTTCCTCATCATCACCTTTATGAAACGGTTTTTCTAGTAAAACCATGTATTTGCAGCATCCTTAACATAACTGTCAAATTAAAAGATATCACTTAATTTATCTATTTTTTTAGTTTAAATTTGAGCATATTTACAAAATGAGATTTCTACAAATTTTGATGATATTAGTCTTATTATCAGTTTCATGTGTTCTACCTTTACAATCTGGTCGATTACTTGATTTAATTCAACGACAGAAAATATTGGCACCAAATGAATTAGAATTAGATGATCCACTAGAATTTCAAAAACTGTTCTATCGACCACGGAAACCAAAAGATTCTGGAGAAGGATACCAAAGATATTATGGAAATTTAATGAGATATGGTCGTTGATAAACAAAAACATTTGTATTCTACGTCGAGAATTCAAAACTAACAAATTATTTGTTAAATATTAAAAGTGTGAAATACAAAATTGATGTTGTTCTTCTAAAATGTATTTCGCGTTTTAAATTATTTTATGTGAGTCTATTTTTTGAAAAATAAAGTTTTGCTTGAAGTATAATAGGAATTAGATATCTTAATCTTTATACCATGGGATCCTGACACATTCTGTGAATTTATTTTTAGTAGTGAAGATCATTTATTTTGGTGGCATTTTATTTATGTAAACATCACATTCTATAGAATCTAAATGACTTCGTTGGTCGATAAAAGGTGCCAGATGTTTGTGACTCAGTACGTAAGAGCTAATAAATTCATCGAAATCATACCTTTATTTGTTGAACTCGTATTTCGCCAATGATCAAAATGATCACTAACTACTTTAAAATAGAAACTGTGACTCTTCAAAAAGTAGTGTAACGTTCAGTTGTAGGATACAATTTCGTTAAACCATCCGTTTAAACTGAATTACTAATAATGACCAATAAAACCAGGTATTATTAATCATGGGAGTGAAAAACCTAAGTTATAACTTTAAGGCTTGGATAGTGATTAATATAAGACTCCACAATACAAAACTTATTAATGTGCAAATTTTTCAAAATATATCTTTGATCTCGAGTTTATTGATGTTCGTTTTAAGATTCAAATGTCACCTAATGACTGAATTGAATAACCCTGGGTTGAACACATGATAATTCCTCATCGACTCATCTGTGTCAAAAATTTCACCAAAACTAAAATATCAAGATCTAAGGACAGAGATAAATATCTATTAGAAATTTGTGTATTTGCTTATATGCAAGTAAACTTGGGAAATAAAATTTGATGTTTTACGAAAAGTGTTTACATTCACAATAACATATCGTTAACCCTAGTTGTGGCCTAGAGGAAGTCCTTTCAAACTGCTGCAAAATAAAAACATTTTTTCCTAGGATACCACGACTATATTTATTACTTAGCTATTGTTGGCTGTCCCGTTCGGTTAACCTCTAAACATGAAATTGGTTGATCATTTCTGTATGAACTAACAGATTAGATCTGTGTTCACATGTTTGATGACTTAGGTTGATCAGAATAGAAGCTTCCAGGGATTTTCTGGGATCCTTATAATCTTATCGATCCAGAGTTACTAGACGTCACCAATAGAAGTCATATTCACAGTTGCCTACATGCACTTATATCATTGATAATCAATCATGTAACAACACTCATTAACTGTTGTCATTTATGTGTCAATGAATTAAATGTACATTTCATCAATGATGGTATTACTGAAATTAGCGCAACTCATTCTGTAGACGACGCCGTATTTACCTTCCTTCACTATCATCTCTTCCAGTCAGCATAAAATAGAATGACAAACTGAAAAAAGTTCGTAACGCACGCCTAGAAATCATTATGATGACTTGTGAGATACTTTTCACATATGATCGAATGTTCTGTTTCTTGATCTCTTTTTTTACTGTAGGTTGGTTTGCTAGACACCTTTTGATGAAGTTGTTGCCATAGGGATTAATAGGGGATACGTACAGAAGTTGTTTTTCTTCAATTTCCAGTGCATTGGTAGTGTTGTGATAATGTATGATTCTTGTGTATAGGATTTGTACACATTTCCTGTGCGTTGTTGAGTTATTGCTGTTGCGGTTTAGCCTATTATCCACGAGTATTTGCTCTTTGTATATTTATGTTTCCAAGATTATGTTTGTTTAGTTGACTAAGCTATCCAACAATAAATCTTTTGTTTTCCGATTCTAATTCTTTTGTAAATTTAATGTTGTTGAAGCTGCTGTTAACCAACTTATGTGTATTCTGAAATCTATCTCTTTCTTCAGGGTTAAAGTGTCATCTTTTACTGATTATGTCATCTAGAAGAATATGTAAGACCTTTATAATGATCTACATTTGACCGTTAACTGTAGTCAACATAATCTGTACTTTAACTGATGTTGGTTGGTGTATCAAGCTTCAAAATGTTCTCGAAATTACATAAATGATATTAGTATGTCATATACACATAATCAATATCAGTTTGCAATAGTACCTTAAATTTATCTCGAGAGTTCTTAACTTCAGTCAACTGTATTTCGAACATTCTCAGTACTTACAAATACTGCTTCTCAGGTGGCATATGAAATATTGCAAAATAGTACTCCAGAAAAAATATAAGAGAAATAAATACAGTCTTTCAGAGTTCACCGACGACATATGAACTAATTACTACAAAAGTTTAGTACTGAAAATACATAGAAAGAAGTTTGTGGATGTTTGTCGATGCTTCTGATAAAATTAGATGTTCCGTCGTATTCAACTCCATCGGTAGAGCTCAAGGGTGAAAATCCATGAACTGTCTCCAAATGTTGAAAGCATTTCGACTCAAACGGTTTCATGAATAACGAGGAAAGATCTTGAGTCTATGCCAGTTACAGTTTCATGCATTTCATCACCGGCATTCTGGGAACGTGGACATTAATTGAGTGCTGCAAATAATGTTAGAATTACAGGTGTGAGGACGTTACGGTCGTCCAGGTAAAACAATCAGTAGAGTCATTTGAACATATAGTTTTGTATATTCTGTGGGCTCAGTTGTTTGATTCAATACGTTAATTCAAAATTGTTGATGATTTTTCAATTGGTCACTGACAGTGCATAACATTTTTACTTCATATTCTACATCAGACAATGCCAACTATTATTTACAAAACAGTCTTGGGGCTTCACAAAGGTACATGAAGTGATTCATTTTTCTCATTGCTCGGACCTTCTCATTGGTTTTTAGGACTGATACAAATTAGTCTCTTTTGGTATATGTGCATCTTGTATGGATTGCTTCAATATTGACTGTTACGTCACAAACACTGTAAATAGAGTTGGGTGGTGGCTATCAGTGGAGTTGAGGACCCACGTTTTGTCCTGTTTACAACTCATTAGCTGGACGTACCTGCATCCGAGTTGACGTTAGATCCGGGACTCGAACCTGACACCGATCGCATCTAAAACTTAGTGTTTGTAATAATTTTGTGTTACAGACAATAGTGAAGTCCGTGATGGATGCTAAAGCAGATGTCAACTATAGGATGAAGGTGGGTCCAGCTAACGAGTCACAAATACAATACGTTCGTTAGTGCTCACCAATTTCTATCTACCTAGATTGTTATATCTCGGGAATTCCTGGTTTGTACAACAATTCAAATACTTCTAATGATCATATTATTATACCTTGTATACTATATAAATGACTCCTCATTACATGACTGCCTAACCTATGTGGCCTGACCTTGAAATGACATCAATGGTAACCTGGAGTCAAATTGTAGTGAAAGTCAGAGACATTCCTTTGTGGGAAACCTTGAAAGATAAATAAAACTTAACTAACGGAATAAAATGCCTAATATGGAGGATGATATTTAAGTTATTTATGACTACTCGATAAAGCTATTCCGCTTCTATATTTTTCACGCTTAGACCTTCACGACTTTCTTTCAAATATTCGGCGTCCAGCGCTAATCTTTTAATTTAATTCATACCTAGCTTGAGGAGTCAAGATTGTAGGAACCATTGTTTGTGTTCTAAGACTACATTCTTGTATACGGAAATCGTGTGAAGTTGAATTATGTTTGGATGTTTGAAGACAGATAAACGCCACATTAATACAGTACTATAAAGACGATCATGATTGAGTTATAGGGTAAAAATATTTAACAATGGTATTTAGTCATATAGTAATGTACCATGAAAATAAGCATCATAAATCCACTTTTTCAAACTGATAACAAAATTATTAAAACAAGCAAATACAAGGTTACCAAAAATGGAAGTCAAGTGATACACTGATATAAATTACTGCATGGACTAAAAAGTCCATACTTGCTGAAACATGATGATCATAACCCGACAGAAATACGTGTGACATTAAGTACAGAATTTACTAATCAAATAATTCATGTGAATCTTAGTAACATAAAGCAAGCGCAAATATGCTACAGATATACAGAAAAAGCATTTACAGGGAAAGAAGGTATTTCTACGTACTCAGTGTTTATAATATATCTGTGTCCGTACAAAATACATAGTATTTGCGAAAAGCCTTGATTTAGGCGCGTTCTTTTTACACAGATAGGCTAGATATGAAGAGTCCATTTTTAGAATTACCAAACAAAAATCGAAATATTGTTAGAGAAAATGATCTAGAAATACCCACGGGACGACCAAATGTACGAATCTTATATTAGAATAAAGAGATCTTGAAGGTGACGGAAACTTAGTAAATGCAGCTCTAGTTGTCCATGTTTAGAGTTGGTTTAAGCGTAGTCAGTGCGTTACCGTGATGAGAATGTAAGTGTGAAGTTGAGTCCGTTGTGTTGACATCGAGTTAGCATAAACCTGTTAAGATTTTTCAGGTTAAGCCATCACTGTGGGTTGATGACGCATCTTTTATTCTGAGAAAACATTCGTAAACTGCCTGCAAGGATTTATGCGCACACTTAAAATTCTATGGGTGTATATGCCATGACGGTTGATGAACTCTAATTAGCATCAACTTTTTGCATATGTGTGATTTAGGTATATTATAGCCGGTAATGAATCTGAACTACTAGATTATCGGAAACCAACCTCCTGTAGTTAATGGAATGTGTATGTTCCGTCTAATGTATCCCAAATCAAATCAGTCATTAAATATCTGCAAAACGAACCGAAAATCTTTTATAAAACCGCTGATCGTGAGGACCTGAGGACCATGTTCGTTGACAGTCATGTATTGCAGGTAGACATCATATACCGAATGCGTAAGACGTGATTTTGTGGTCTTTGAGCAAGCGATTTGGGAGCGCAGATAATCTTCAGATCAATTACAAATCATCACAAATACGAAATAAACCCTAGTTTTAATTATGGCTAAAAGTTGAGGGTTTGGACTAAAACGTTAAATCGTCTTTCTGGCCTACTGTAAGACGATAGAGTGCGATTCACTAAACATTTACACCACGTTACATAAGGCGTCGAAGTTTTATAACAAACTCTGGTAAACGTGAATTCAAGTGCATCAGACACAATAATGGTTACTATAGACTATTTAGATGAAGTTGCTTTCGAACGTC